AACTGAAGAGTAAATTGGGAGAGGGATTTTCAACATTCATGTAAGATGAGAATTTGAGGGATTGTTGTGAGGTGTAAATTAAACAACCAGAAAGCACATAAACCCAGTGCTACTGCATACGTAAAACCCACTGCCCTGAGTTAATTCCAACACATAGAAATCCTATAAAGGGTTTCCGAGACTATACATCTTCATAGGAGCAGACCGCTGGCGGGTTGGAACCATGGTCCTTGAGGTTAGCAGCCCAGCACTTAGCTCACCATCGGCTTGCCGCTGGTAGGCTCACGGACTCTCCTCTGTACTTCAGTGAGAACTCCTCTCTATCAAATTGGCTATGACGAGACAGACAGTGCTTGATGTGATTGCCCAGCTGGCACTGGCTAGGAACATACCAGAAGCTCTTACAGCACTGGGGTTGAAAGGAGCTTAAGGCGACAGCCACCCGCTCTTTTCTCCTCAACATTGGCTTCTTTGGACGGTCTCTTCGTTGTTTCACATATGAAGTTCTGCTGCTGGGGGACATACTCCAGGCCGTTAAACATTCCAGATGGAAATCTTGACTGACCACAGCTCTTCATTTTTAGCGCTGCCTTTCCCGCTCCTGGTAATTGGTCACTAAGAAGCAAGCCAACAAAGAAAGGGTCCTGCCGAGGTGTGCTAGGGAGCCCTGGGGAGTGCAAATGGTTAGCACCTCCACCTGCCACGATGAGGCCATCAAGAACTCCAGACACACGTGGGGCTGCCGTGAGTTGGAGGCCTCTGGACAAGACCTGGTCGCCCAGGGGAGCTTCCAGAGTTCTCTCCCAGTAATAAAAACAATCAAAGGACTCAGCCAAGCTCACTGCCAGGAAGCCCAGTGTGTCTCATAGCAACCCTATAGGACAGAGTAGAACGCCCCTGTCAGTTTCCAAGACTGTAACCCTTCACAGGAGCAGAGAGCTTCATCTTTATCCCGCAGAGCCGGCAGGTGGTTTCAAACTGCTGACTTTTCAGTTAGCAGCCCAACTCTTAGCCACTGCACCACCAGGGCTCTCCCTGTGCAATCTGAAAACCTTTATTCCGACCAGGAAAGGCCACCCATTTCAGCATCTCTTGTCTGCAGTGTCCCCAGAGACACGGGCACAGTTCAGTAACTTCTGTGTGTTCCTCTCCAGAGAGAGGGAGGGAGAGAGAGGGAGGGAGAGGGAGGGAGGGAGAGAGAGAGAGAGGGAGGGAGGCAGGGAGGGAGGGAGAATGCTGGAACCTCTTCACTGATCTGAGATGGTGCCCTTGGTGCTGCAGGACTGATTGTCCTCTCGTGCCAGATGACATCAGTGTTGTCCCCTCAGTGCTGTGAGGGGGATGTGACACTTCCACGCTTTGCTCATGTATCTCACCTCCAGTGCTGTGGGTGTTTTATTCGGATATAGGATCGGGGACTCTGGGACTGATACCCTGGAGGCACAGGAGTTAAGCTCCTCTGCTAACCTAGAGCTCAGCGGTCCAAACCCACCAGCCATTCCGTAGGAGAAAGATGTGGCAGCCTGCTTATGCACAGAGACAATAACTGATGCATGGCGGGGCAGAGGGGAGGATTTGGAGAGCAGTCAATGGATGTAAGAGGGAACATTACAATGGATTGTGATGGGGTGTATACAACTCTTTTTAGAATCAGTTTATTTATGGACATGTATGATATATGAAGATTATATCAAGGAAACTATTTTAAAAAAAGCAAACTTGACCCATGGTTACCATGGGTGAAGGAAGAAGGGCTATTGCTTAGGGGGCATGTTGATGGTGGCGGAACAATTTGGAAAAGGATATCAATCATGGTCATAGAACACCAAGATTATAGTCAATGGCACTGAATTAGACATGTAAAAGTTGTTGACTTAGTGAATGTTTTGTTGTGTGCATTTTTGCCAAAATTGACCAAAATGACATGAATAATAATGAATATATACCCATAAAGAAAATGTTCTGCAATTGATTGTGCTGGTGACTTTACAAGTCTTCTTGATTTGGATGAACTATTGAATTGTATGAGAGGTGGATAAAGTGCCGATAAAACTGTTTTTTTTTTAAAAGCCTTCCAGCCCTGGGCTGCCTGGGCAGCAGTTGTCCGTCTCGCTCCCTAGGAGTGGGCCTTCTCCAGGGTATTGGGAACTGTGATGGCCGGGCAGCGGAGGGCCATGGACTCTGTATTTTTCCTCCCGTCGCATTCGTGTTTATTGGAAGATTTCCCTCGAAGTTAGAGTAGGACAACAGACATTAGCCCACACCAAGTCTATAGAATCTGAAGGCCATGGCGCTCTGTGAGGAAAGCCCTTTCAGCAAACTCGGACATCCTTGGCTGTGAGACTGGACTGAGCGCTCGGACGTGGACACCTACAGGGAAAGGAGGAAGCTAACTGCGTAGGACAGTTAAAGGCCAGGTCTAATTTGATCCCAACAACATTTTATAAAAGAAAAAACTGTTGTTTTTTGTTTGTTTTTAAACATTTTATTAGGGGCTCATACAACTGTTATCGCAATCCATACACACATCAATTGTGTAAAGCGCATTTGTACATCATTCTCAAACCATTTTCTCTCCACTTAAACCCCCGACATTAGGTCCTCATTTTTCCCCTCCCTCATGAGCCCTTGATAGTTTATAAATTGGTATTTTGTCATATCTTGCCCTGTCAAAACTGTTAACTATACCCAGTAATTTATTTTTTCACGAAAATGAAAAAAGAGATTTTGTTTCATTTTAATGTGAGAAATATCAGTAGCTATTTAGAAAATAATTGTTCAAATTATTTCATTTGACTCGAGGGCCATTGAATTATGTCCTGTTGGGTCTGGAAAGAGAGGAAAGCAGGTATGACCCAGTCCCTTCTCAGGGAGAAAAACAAACTAGAAAACCTCACAGCCGTTGAGCAGATTCCAACTCATAGCAACCCTATAGACAGGGTAGAACTGCCCCTGTGAGAAAGCCACTGGTGGTGGTTTCAAACTGCGGACCTTTCTGTTAGCAGCCTAATGCATGGCCCACTTTGCTACCAGAGCTGCACAGTTCCTTTTAACCCATTTACCTTTCTAGCTCTTGACATAAAGTTTGTAGTCTGTGTAAAGGAACTACATTATTAGGATTTTATTCAAATTGTCATGTTTTATTATAATATGTCCTGGTAACCCATCTCTGTAATCATAAAACAAAATATTTGGGTGGGGGGAGTTGGTTTTGCTTTAAAGTTTTCAGCAATACGAATAAAAACACCCAAAACCAAGTCCACTGTCATCAAATTGATTCTTAACTCATAGTGACCCTATGTAGGGTTTCTGAGCAAGAGCAGACAGCCTCATCTTTCTCCTGAGGAGCAGCTGGTGGGTTTGAACCACAGACCTTGCAGTTAGCAACCCAAGGCTTACCTGACAGTGCCACCAGGGGTCCTTTAAAAAGTCTTTTAAAGAATAGTTTATAAGAGTCCTTGCTCACCATTACTTCCACAAGAAGGAATGATTATTTTTTTCTCGTTAGAAGCTGAAAGCCTTTGTCTGGGTGGCCTGAGTGTGTTCTCTTTACAGTCTTACATCTGGGGGCCTTCTGGGAGCCACATCTAAGTGTTGAATGTCACTGCATTGCACACCCCGTGTTGAATGTCACTGCATTGCACACCCCGTGTTGAATGTTTCCATTCCTTTTTCGTCGGTAACTCAGGCTAGCCCAGGAAATGACCAGTAGATGAACTACTGCCTTCAGTTTTGCCTGCCATCGCAAACTCAACTCACCAGAATAACTGGGGGGCTCGATGAGGTGGTCCCTGTGTTTTGTTTTGTTTTGTTTCCAGGGATTTCCTGTGTTTTTATGAAATACGCCAGTAGCGATTAAAAACCTAAGCTTTAACTTTAAGCAAAAGTATGAGACTGTACCAATGTGTGATCCAGGAAGAACCAACAGCTGAAAGACCACAGTAACGGCCGCTGCTGCACAAAATCAGGATCCCTGGTGACACAGTGGTTACGTGTTGAACTGCTAACCACGAGGTCAGCAGTTCAAAACCACCAGCCCCTCTGAGGGAAGAAAGATGAGGCTTTCTACTCCCATAAAGAGTTACAGTCCCAACAACAACCAAAAAAAGTGTTCACAGGTTCAAAAACCCACTGGGACAGTTCTACCTGGTTCTATATAGTCCTATGAGCAAAATCTACTCCATTATGGCTTAAAGGGCCATGAAAATACATCAAGGAACCCTGGTGACACAGGGGATTAAGCACTGTGGGGGATTCTAATTCATAAGTCAGTGGTTCAGACCCACCAGCTGTTCTGTAAAGATTTACAGCCACAAAAACCTTATGGCCACAAAAACCCTATGGGATAGGTCTACCTTGTCCTATAAGGTCACTGTGATTCAAAATCCAATCGCTGTCAGTGGGGGCATAGATACCATTAAAACACAAGCCCTTTGAACAAAGCGGCAGAGGATAAGGTTATTTACTAAACGCACAAAGCTAAAAGATTTTATAAAGTAAAACAGGAAGTTTAAGGTTAAGCACTGTGTAGTAACACATACATGTATTATTTACTGTGCTTCTAGAATTAGAACATGCATTTTAACAACAATGTACCTGGCAATAAACCAGTGCTGTCCCCCGACAATCTCCCTCCCCCACCCACCCCCGTCACGCATGAACCTCTAGGAGTGTATGCAGGCAAGTACTTTGTAAATGGTCACGTGCACTGCAGGCTTCGTATTGACAATAGCCAGACTTACTGGGGTTTCTTACTCAGACATGTGTGTAGGTCCCTCTGATGTGGGCCTAACCGCCCCCACAGCGCATACAGAGCAATTCAGTTGCTCCTGCCGCCGACACAGGTGTGGGGGAGCCCTCTGCATTCACTGAGGACCTGGCCCGGAAGGGTCTCTGCCAGCTCAGGGGTGTTTGTCAGGCGGTACCCGATTGCTGACGCCTTGGCCAGGGAGCACTGGAAAGGTTAAAGTTTGCCTTGTGATTCCCTCTCTCCCAGGGCAGCTGGATGATGACGGGTTGCCGCACGGATTCTGCACCGTCACCTACTCCTCCACAGACAGATTCGAGGGGAGCTTTGTTCACGGAGAAAAGAACGGCCGGGGGAAGTTCTTCTTCTTTGATGGCAGGTAGCACTCGACAATTCTAAAAACCTTTGCCTTTGGAACGGTGTGCCTTTGTGATAACACCTTCACACCGGTGTCCTCGCCGTTCTGATCTACATCTGCCCCTGGTTAAAACGTTTTTCACAGTAGGGCATCTTGGGCAGGTGGCGGGCGGGGG